CAAGGAGAGGAGGAAAAGGGGGAAAAGAGAGAGAAAAGAAAAACAAGAGAGAGAGAAAAGAAAAACAAGAGAGAGAGAAAAGAAAAACAAGAGAGAGAGAGAAAAGAAAAACAAGAGAGAGAGAGAAAAGAAAAACAAGAGAGAGAGAAAAAAAAAAAAAGAGAGAGAGAAAAGAAAAACAAGAGAGAGAGAAAAGAAAAAAAAAGAGACTAAAGAGAAAAAAAGAGAAGAAAAAAAAACAAAGAGAGAGAAAAGAAAAACAAGAGAGAGAGAAAAGAAAAACAAGAGAGAGAGAAAAGAAAAACAAGAGAGAGAGAAAAGAAAAACAAGAGAGAGAGAAAAGAAAAACAAGAGAGAGAAAATATCAAAGAAGTAGGTTGGATTTGAACTGAAGGCCAACTGTCACTGACAAAAGTGAAAATATGCATCATATAATAATGATATAATTTTATTCAACATGTTAACCAGACAATTCAATATTTTTGTGCATAATTTATCAAAAATATCTCATGCCAATTTGGACCAAGAACCAATGCCATAAAAATCACCATTTCCAGTAGTACAGATTTAATACAGGAACCAAGAGACAGCCACAAGAAAATTATTGAATTCAAGACAACAAAAAATATGCATTTTATGAAATTTACACACTTCCTTTTCTAAAATATCATATCAGTCAAGTTGTTACCCTTGTGATACAAGATAATAGATGAGGACAAGTTGATAGGACCTCTGAGAAGACTAGCCTTTTTTTTTTTTCTCTCTCTTTAGATTTAACGGCAAAGTGCAGAGATGGATATGCGACTAATTTGGGAAAAACTGATTAAGCAAAAGAAAAAGAGGAGGGTGACAGAGTGAGAATATTTTTCCCCCTCATTCTAAATAATATTGAACTCTCTCCTCTATAATGTTTTTTCGTTTTCTTTCACTCTCAATAATTCCTTGCATCTTAGTGGCATTATTCTCTTGCTTGGAGCAAAATGATAGGAAAACAAAGAAAAAAGAAATTATATATATATATATATATATATATATATATATATATATTCTGCAGAACAAATTGAAAAAAATGGGAATACCATTTAAAATCACAACCCCTGAAAACTGGAAATTTTATTACGGAACATCGATGTCAGGATGAAACTGATATTTAAAAGTAATCTTTTCATATAATATTATTAATGCTCTATTTTTTTTAATATTGAGCACTATATATAAAAATATCTGCTGTTTCTTATATATATATATATATATATATATATATAAAATAAGGATGGATGGGGGTGGAAACAAAGGAGACATAAAAGAGAGTTCCACAAAGGAAAAAGAAATTATTAGAATAGAACTTACACTTATGTCTAGATATTTTGACAGTAAAAGGATAAGACCTAGTTACCAATTGATTCATGCAGTTGAAGTACCAAGAAGGAAAGCTCATGAGAACAATTGCCATGAAAATATTTGTAGAAAAGGCAGAGGGAAGCCATGTCACAGCGGTGGAAAAGCGACTCAAGTCGAGGTGCCAGGTCAGGATTAATTACATTGCAGACCCTGGCAGCAATATTCAATGTGTGAATGAATGATGGATTTATAAATGTGCAAGATGGATTCCGATGAGAAAGATTGTCTAGCACACAACACAGTGAACCAACTTACCTAGCAGTAGACCTAGCAATTGATTCAATTATTCCACTTCATGTCAGGGGAAAATGTAAGTCCAAGAAGACGTAGAGAGTTGCTCTCCTGGGAGTTAGCCTCAGCCATGCTGATGGAAGGCAGAAAGTGTTTGACACTTGGCAGGTGGGTATTTTGGAGGCACTTTATTTTTTAGATGTGGGTTATGTGTCCAATTAAGAAAGCAGAAGAGTTCCACAGGTGAGAAATGCAACAAAAGATACTATTAGAATAAGGAACACGGTACATAAAAGAAGTTTGGCTTCACTATTATTACTTAGACATTGTATGGAATAATTCACTAATTCACTTTGTTGATATGTTTCTCATATTTTTCTCAGCATTTGTTAGAAAGAAATGAATAAAATTTTTAGTAATCCTATTCCTTACATGTCTTCCCAATTTCAAGATTTCTTGTCTTTTATAGTTTTGTAACGTTTTTGCAACTTTTTATGCTCAATAGAATTGTCTTGATTGTTTTCAAAAAATCATTTCTTATTTCTTGTCTACATGTCCTATTTTGAAATAGCTAATTGTAACTAAGTTCTATTTTTGCCTTAGTTCATCACTGATTGTAGCAAGCAGTTGCCAGTTTTACTTTGACAAAACTATCAAACTTGCTATTAAGACAGGAGTAAATAGTTGTGTCATCAGCATAGATACCTAGTTGTTGAATGAAATTTATAAAACCTTCCTGTTAAAATAACTTTTTCTTATGCTCACTATCAGTCTTTCTAGTACTGAAGGAAATTTCCCTCCAAACGTTTTGTTTAAGATAGTGTGGAAAGTAAACATCTTGATTATATGATTATTTTACCTTCTAGTTACATATGCTGCCTATTTTTGTTATTGGAGTTGTAAATCTTCAAGTGATATAGTTTTTTTTGTTATTTGGCAAAGTTCTTTATTTGGGATCCTACAACACTAGTCTAGGAGATGTGATGAAGGATTCTTTTAAATTCTAGAGGATATATTTGCTTGAAGCCATTTTTAAACATTCATCTGGAAAAATTTGAACTCTGCCATAATTCTGTCATTTACAGAACACTCATCTCCATAGTTGCCTGATAAAGATAAAAAAAAAAAACTACTAGACAAACACACAATTACAAATACACATTACCATTTGTTGCCCACTTAAACATACAAAATTCTTCACAAAGCTACATACACACAGAATTATGCATGGTTTTAATACATGTGACATGTACCTGACCAATAAGAACTGACCCAAACATAAATGAAAATACCAGGGTTTTCTATCTTTTTGTCTGTGATTCTTTCAAGCTTTAATAAAAGTGAAACATGTTAGATTGATATACATTTCCTGTTTGATCCTTTATTTTATCATCTTGCTTGATGTTGTAAGTTGTTGAAATGCTTTAACAGATATAATGTGATGCTGTGATTGGTCTCTTGTACTTTACTTCTGTGGAAATGAGTAGATTTTACTTACAACATTGAAATGGGAATCCCTTTTTCATGTGGTTGTGCAAACCACAAAAATATGTCGTCTTCACCTTTCTACTGGCTTCATTGATTTTCTTTCTAATACATATGAAGTCTTGTTTTTTTGTTTTTTTTTTTATATCAGACACTGTTTCTTTTTCAAATATTTTACTATTGTCCAAGGTTTGCTGCCTTTTCAAAATGATCCAGATGCTATAAACTGTCACTTTTCATTCTGATTGTTAATGGCTTTCACTCTCTTCACAGATACGAGAACAGTAATAAGCTCTGTCACTTGGAACTATCTTTTAAAAAAAAAAAAAAATAAGCAATAGGCAAAAAAGGAATTGATGGCAATCTTGGAAGAGGTTTTTGTAGATTGTTTTGATATTTAGAAGTTACAAGTGAATGAGGTGACAAGGGGGGGGCTATTCAGAATGGAAGTGAAATGCTCGTACTGCACTTGTTAGACTATTTTTGCATTAATATTAAATGGCTGACTGCTCTCTGGACAGACCTCATACATTCTGAGGCACCCACCTGTAAAAACAAATCGGCTGATGTCAATCATGAAAGAGGTCTTTGCAGACCGTTTCGAAAAGTAAGAGGGATACTGTGAGAAGTGTGAGACATTTCAACAGGAATGTACTTTGAGGGCGACAAAAGCACCATTACCCTAGATAGGATATTTATTCATAAATATTAAACAGACTCTTTCTATACAGACTCCACACACACAAATACAAGTTCAGATCAAATATGAATCGGAATCCGACAGAATAATAAGATAATGAACAAATAGGAAATGTTTATCAATCTAACAAGTTTCACTTTTATTAAGGCTTCATCAGATGAAGATTTAATAAAAGTGAAGGATGTTAGATTGATAAACATTCATTTTTTTTCTTTATATTATCATGTGCACACACACATTATATATTTAGAGAGAGATAATAGTTTTTAAATCATACTATATCTATAAGAGAAATGTGTCCAATATCAGAGACAGGGCATCTGTAAATATATAAGCAGTGTAGACATAGGCATCAACACTGGATGACAACATGCATTAAGCATGAAACAGACTGTGTCATCCAGTGCTTTCCACACTGATGTGCTCTCATGTGACATTATGAAGTTAATTTTAGGGGGTCGCATTACACAAAATATAAAATTAGCACATGAACTGCTGATCCTGGCTACGCCATTGACCAAACTATATATGCATTTACTGTAGTCAAAAAGTACAGCTGTATTTAAAATAAACAAGATTTTAATAAAACTGATGTTTCACTTAACTATATCCAATAATAATGCATGTAATATTCACATATTAGTATCATATTATAAAATAAAAACAGTGAATATGCATCTTTTACAGTGTCTGCATTTATAAGATGTTTAGCTGTTTCTCACTTAGTTGTTTATTGCTGTACATGGTTACGCAATAAGTATAATGTTATTAATGATACTTATTCTCTTACTTTTTTTTTTAAATTATTTAACTAGAAGATAGGATAAAGAGATAGAGGAAAGGAGGTTAGTCTATTGTAATTTGGTCTCTCAGAAAAGGAACTTGTATGATACACAAGATACATGATAAAATGATTTTTTATAAGTAACAATGTTAGGGTCAGATGATACACAAGATCGCACATTACACGAGTATATACAGTGTGTGTGTGTGTGTGTGTGTGTGTGTGTGTGTGTATATATATATATATATATATATATATATATATCAGAGAGAAAGTGAGACAGACAAATATTGTAATGTGCATATGTAGGCATATGAACATATTGTAACAGTTATCGATGCAGAAAGTGAAATTGCCAAGACAACTTCAAATTATGCTTGATTCCATTTCCTTCATTTTGCACTAATATTCTATAAGAAAAAAAAAATGTAAAAATAGAAATCCATCTTCCTCCAGCCATGGGTTAAATATCATGGCAGACTAGGCTATCTTGCTTTCTAGAAGGGGGGAAACTGAATTAAAAATGGAAGACTGTTTGGGAATTGAGACACAGTGCACCATTTCTTCATCTTTTCAAAAAAATCTAGATGGTCCTATCCAAAACTTTACCACCATAATCTGTGGGTAGTCTAGGTGCTCAGGTCTAAACTCATCTGTTGGACACTCACACACCAAAATCAATGGGAGATCCTGTTATATAGAGACAAATTCAGAAAATTATTTATGACATCAACATCTACAAATAAAAAAATTCTTACTTTAATCAGTTAAATCCTTTAGGTCTGTGCTATGGCAGAG